GCGAGAAAGGGAGAGAGCGAAAGGAAGCCTAACCTTTCYCTTCTCCCCCTCCCCCCTCCCCTTTGGGTACTCGACACCATAAAATATCCATGAACTGCATGAACATATACCTGTGTCTAATCATTTGAAGCTTTCTGTAACAATAAAATTAAATTAGGACGCCTGTATTTAAGAAAGTTTATAACATGCTCCGTGAAGTGTTGCTTACATATAAGCAGTTCAGTAAAGACAAAATTAGTACTTTCTGATACATTTAAAGAGTCGTGAATTTCGAATTTAGTTTTCCCGAGATTAACTTTTTCTTTTTTTAAGGCAGAGGCAATTCTACTAACCATGGTCCCATCGATAGGTAAGTCAACTTTTACTGTAAGAACTTGTTTCAATTTTCTTTCGTTGCTATTCTTTTCTTCTTTTCTCTTCTCTTTTGTTCTCATTACCTCCTTTCTCATCTTCTCTTATTTTGCTTTGCTATATATCGTCTTCTTTTCTTTCATTTTCTTTTTTGTTCTCCCTCGCTTTCTTCTCTCTTTTTTCTATCATTTTTTTGGCTTTACCTTACCTGCTAAAATTCAAAAGAAACTCGGAGAAAGAGATACCTTTCTCCGTTAAGTTTTTAGACTTGATTTCACGAACTTTATCAAGTTTGTTCACACAAAGTATTGAGCGCCAAATCCATGAAAATATCCAATATATAAATACAAGCCTTTTTTACTCGTAGTGCACTATCTCGTTCGTTAAAGCGTGGAGGGAGCTTTCCAGTGCTTTTTATGGTGGTGTTGGTATTCGTAGTGGCTGTCTACGTTGGATATCACAACAGATACAAGGTTTGTTGAAGCATGTTTTCTGTATGTTCAAGGTGCGGGGTTTTTTCTGATTAAGCATGAAAAATCTATGGTCAAGATTTTAAGATCTGACAAAATGTGATTACTAAATAGGGAAACAAAAAGTTTAGAGTGCTCTGCGATTGATTATAAGAAGAAAATTCTTCCAAAATCTGCTATAGGTTGAAGTGAAAACTATCCAGAGCTCTGTGATTTTTTATCGGTTAAGGAGAACAATCTAAAGAACTCTGTGATTTCAAAATGGAAACCTTTAAGACATCTAGCAAAGGTTAGAAATAAACGAAACTCGAAGAGAAAGGTCAGCAGAGCTTTGGGACTTTCAA